TCTCACCTGTCTCTCTCTCTGCGTCTCACCTGTCTCTCTCTCTCTCACCTGCGTCTCACCTGTCTCTCTCTCTCTCTGCGTCTCACCTGTCTCTCTCTCTGCGTCTCTCTGTCTCCTGTCTCTCTCTCTGCGTCTCACCTGTCTGTCTCTCTCTCTGCGTCTCACCTGTCTCTCTCTCTGCGTCTCACCTGTCTGCGTCTCACCTGTCTCTCTCTCTCTGCGTCTCACCTGTCTCTCTCTCTCTCTGCGTCTCACCTGTCTCTCTCTCTGCGTCTCACCTGTCTCTCTCTCTCTCGTCTCACCTGTCTCTCTCTCTGCGTGCGTCTCACCTGTCTGTCTCTCTCTCTCTCTCTCTGCGTCTCACCTGTCTCTCTCTGTCTCTCACCTGTCTCTCTGTCTCTCTCGCGCGCGTCTCACCTGTCTCTCTCTCTGCGTCTCACTCTCTGTCTCTCTCTCTCTCTGCGTCTCACCTGTCTGTCTCTCTCTCTGCGTTCACCTCTCTCTCTCTGCGTCTCACCTGTCTCTCTGTCTCTGTCGTCTCACCTGTCTCTCTCTCTCTGCGTCTCACCTGTCTCTCTCTCTGCGTCTCACCTGTCTCTCTCTCTGCGTCTCACCTGTCTGTCTCTCTCTCTGCGTCTCACCTGTCTCTCTCTCTTGCGTCTCACCTGTCTCTCTCTCTCTGCGTCTCACCTGTCTCTCTCTCTCTGCGTCTCACCTGTCTCTCTCTCTCTCTCTCTCTGCGTCTCACCTGTCTGTCTCTCTCTCTGCGTCTCACCTGTCTCTCTCTCTGCGTCTCACCTGGGGGCCTCTGCAGTCTGCGCTCACGGGGGCCGAGCTGTAGCTGTGGAACACGGAGCCTGAGAGGTTATCGATCAGGTCTCCCTCCAGAGAGTCTTTTATGAGCAGAGAGACGCTGTCCAGCCACTGACTCTCCTGGAACACAGCAGAGGGTCGGGCACAGTCAGACCGGACCAGGACCCAAACTGGACAAGTGCACGTGACAGGTTTTCCAGACGTCCCCGTTTACCCGGGACGGTCCCAGTTTTGAGTCCTGTGTCCCCAGTCCCCGCAGATTTATACAAAACCAGTGATTTGTCCAAGTTTTATACAAGAAATGTTCCAAGTTTACTTATTTTTGACCAATTTAATCCCTGCCAACAGTAAAACGAGGCATACACCTCTTTTAGACCTGTTTTAGACCTGGTTTAGACCTGGTTTAGACCTGTTTTAGACCTGGTTTAGACCTGGTTTAGACTGTTTTAGACCTGTTTAGATCTGTTTAGACCTGTTTTAGACCTGGTTTAGACCTGGTTTAGACCTGGTTTAGACCTGGTTTAGACCTGGTTTAGACCTGGTTTAGTCCTGGTTTAGACCTCCTGGTTTAGTCCTGGTTTAGTCTGGTTTTAGTCTTAGTCTTGTTTAGTCCTGGTTTAGACCTGGTTTAGTCCTGGTTTAGTCCTGGTTTAGACCTGGATAGATCTAGTTTAGACCTGGTTTTAGTCCTGGTTTAGACCTGGTTTAGACCTGGTTTAGTCTTGGTTTAGTCCTGGTTTAGACCTGGTTTAGACCTGGTTTAGTCCTGGTTTAGTCCTGGTTTAGTCTTGGTTTAGTCCTGGTTTAGACCTGGTTTAGTCCTGGTTTAGTCCTGGTTTAGACCTGGTTTAGTCCTGGTTTAGTCCTGGTTTAGTCCTGGTTTAGTCCTGGTTTAGTCCTGGTTTAGTTTAGTCCTGGTTTAGTCCTGGTTTAGCTCTGGTTTAGCTCTAGTTTAGATCTGGTTTAGTTTCTGGCCATGAGTGGAATTACTGAAAAAAAAAAAAAAAAAAAAAAAAAGGATTTAGCCCAAAATGTGAAAACAGTAAAATCCCTCTGTGTAATCCATTTATTTCAACAAAGTAACTGTAATCCAATTACCACTCACTGAAACAGTAACTGTAACTGAATACAGTTACTCATCATTTGTACTCTGATTACTCTGGTACATGTAATCTGTTACTCCCCAACACTGTCTGTACTTCCCTGGATGACGACCTGTACATGTGTGTGGTCAATGATCCAAACTGGGGACAGTCCCAGTTTTGAGCCTGTGTCCTCTGTCCGCGCACATTTATCCAAAACCAGTGATTTCACCCAGTTTTACACAAGAAATGCTCCAGGTGTCCCTATTTTTACCAATTTGATCCCTGCCAACAGTAGAGAGGCAGAAATTGTCATTTGTTTGAATAAAATACAGAAAAGCTGCTTAAAAGTACGACCAAAACACAAAGAAAATGTGACTGTGCTGACTCACGTTCGTCATGAATGAGCCGAGAGCAGAACAGTTCTCCTTAATTACCCACTCAATTCACAATTTTATTTTTACCAACCACCACAAACCGAGAGTGTCCCAGTTTTTGATTTGGAAAATTTGGTGACTCTAGGTTAAACTGTTCTCTGGAGACTATTAAAACACGAGAAGACATTTGTGCTACCTCTTTGATACCTTCATTTAGACTTTTGAAAAACTGACCTAGAGTCCAGGGACAAAAACAACAACGGCTCTAACCCGGACTTTGTTTACTCTGCAGAATTATCCACGAGCTCCGAGGATGAGCGTCTTTTTACGTTCTTCACTGTTGGTTTTATCCACACTAAGATAGAAAGTAACACATTAGAAAAGTATACAGTCGTGGACAAAATTGTTGGTACCCCTCTGGTAAAGGAAAGAAAAATCGACAACGGTCACTGAAATAACTTGAAACTGAGAAAAGCAATAATAAATAAAAAATTCCCGACAAATAAACAGTGAAAATCAGACACTGTTTTTGAATTGTTGTTCAACGGAATTATTTTAAAAAACAAACTAATGAAACTGGCCTGGACAAAAATGATGGTTCCCCTGGAAAAGATTGTAAATAATTGGACTAGGGATGGGCATGATTAGTCGATTAATCGATAATTGATCATTAAGAATTTCATCGTTTACGTTCATTTTCATCGACAATCCGAATGTAGGTTGTTGTGTGTGTCGTGACCAAACAGGTGTGTACATGTGTCTCTGCATCAGAAGGAGCGAGACACAAACAGTGGGTCAGTCTGTAACGAACCGAAGCACAAATGTGGATTTAACCAGGATTTGTAGAAGAAATTCCACACTTTCCGTTGCGTTGGGACAAGTGTGAGTCCATGTGCACAGTGGATAAAGCAGCACATATGTTTCTGTGTCCAGTGGAAAAAGTTTTTCCAGGTGAGAGTCGCTCAATGTGGATGACGAGGCCCCGCCCCCCTCCCCCCGTACGCTGTCCTGGTCTTGGACAAACACAAATCTGGTCACACTGACCTGTATTCACCTGAGTCATGTCTTTTAATCCAACACAAGTTGAACCACATCAGCGACACAAGAGCTGGAGTTTTTATCTTCACCTAGGCTACGTTCAGACTGCAGGGCTTAACGCTCAATTCATATTTTTTTGTGAAATCCGATGTTTTTTCGAGGTCGTTCACATTTCCAGTTAAATGTGACTTGTGTGTGATCGCCTGTGTGAACATTAAACGGTCCAAAAGTGTCCCACATGTGACACTGGAGACACGACGACGTCAACCGCAGCGAGCGTCTCTGTGTTACAGAAGTTGTCCAAACATGGACGCAGCATCGAGCACCTGGAGATTTTAAAGTTCCTCTCGTACCGGAGCCACAACATGAACAACTTACTTGTTTTAAGGAGGAGATTGAGAAGGAGAAGGACGAGGTTTTTGGTCGTGGTGTTTTGTGCAGAACGTGGAAAGGAACGTGGATGTGGAGACGCCGCCTTTTCGCCTTTTCTCCTACTTCAGCGCAGAAATAGTGACGTTGTGTCTTGTTGATAACGTGTAGGTGGATGAATGCACTTTGACCGTTCAGACTGAAGTCACATGTCAAAAGATCAGATATGGATCAGTTTCAGGAGCACAGATCCAAGTGTCCTGGGTCATGTTTGAAAAATTTGATCTGTGTGTTCAGACTGTTATTAAAAGATCAGATACAGGAACATAGAGACAAAAAATCAGATTTGGGTCACTTCAGGCTGCACCTGAACATAACCGACGTGGTATCGACTGGTATTGGTATCAGCAAGCACACTAA